TCTTGTTAGCATCAGGCGCGTTTGATCTGAAGCCACTTTTAGCTGTTATGAATCACAACTTGCAATGTAACTCACCACAAAGAGCTTTTTTCCCCCCAGTGTGTGATACTAATGCAGACAAAACAAGGCTGCACTGCAATGAGCCTGCAGGGGAAACTGGTTTCCCTTGAGTTTGTTGATTACTGCGTCTCATATTCTAATGCTTAGCAGTGCTGATACATGCAGAAATGCTGCGTGCTTTGCTGTGAGACTTAAGTGTTTCCAACTAAGTACAAGCCGGTTTCTTCTGACAGTCATCACCCACGCTGCATTCTGCACCATGATTCACTTGAACATCTACAACCCACTGCATCTGTTGGTGATATTTGTAATGCAGACAAACACATGTGAACTGAAGACGTAGTGCTGGTTTGGCAGGAAGCTGTTCCCAGCGTGTTTGGCAGAATTGTGGGACATACTTCCAAACTGATGGTCATGATGTTTGTCTTTGTCGGGCTTGGATTTAAACTCGATGTGAAGAATGTGCATCTCAGCAGTCTAAAAGAGGCTGACGGTGCTTTAAAAGCCCAGACTTTCTTTTTCAGTTCTTGGTTTTAAACTCATGAAAAGCCTAAAATCAATCATCGAAGAGTAAATGCACCCAGAATATCAGTCGGTGGACCTGACGGATTGAAGGGCACCTTTGATTTGTCTTGGTATGGTATAGTGCTGGGACAATCAACAGTCATTTATCCAGCAAGAATGCCAAACCGCTTAGGCTTTGGAAGTATGACCCCATATTTCCTACTCTTTTTCTGCCTTTTTACAGACTGAACATGCGATAAAAGGTTTAAATGGGGTCATAACATCTTGCATTTTAGGCTCGTTGGAGAAAAGTTTTGATGGGATTGAACACATCAAAGTTTTGTGCTGTTCCTGTAAATCCATCTGCTCTCTTCCTCCATCTCTAGAGGGGGTTTTCACAAAGCAGGATTAGCAAGTTAGCCTGATAAGTTTAAAAGTACTCTGTGAAATTTTGTTAGCAATTCTCAGTCTGCATAGCTGAATCACATTACATAAACCTCATTTTCTCATTTAGTTTCATAGATTTGGATCAGTATTAGCTAGAGTGGACTAATCTTTCACAGATACGCGGGTTAATTCCTAATCTTAATTTGCAAAATTCTGCTGGGACTCATTGGATCTAGTTCTAGGTGTTTATAAAACGCTGCAGAAACCATAAATTTTATTATTGTTTTCTAATTCTTGTTTCTGCTTTGTGTGTGTCCTTTATGTGATTTTTGAGCTGACCCTTCTCTTTGTTGCTCACTGTTTTGGTCAGGCCTGATGGAGCTTGTTGGAGCACACTGACCTGACCATCTTATATTTGCAGTGTGTTTTGCCACTACAAAGGACATCAAGTTCAGCGTCGCTGCTTTTTGATAATGGAGGTGTGCTCATCATGTTCTCTAATCTCTAGAAGGATATAAGAGATCGTTCTGTGGCAGAATAAAACACAGAACTGGATGAAGAGAGCACAGATAACAGTGTTCGTCTCTAGCTGTAGTTTCTACTTCTCTTTAAATACGATTGCTGCGTGAAGTCTTAATTTCCACCACATCTCCGACCCCACACTTAACCCCTCCCCCAAGTTTCCTCACGTTCACACTCGACTTTCCCCCATTTCTCCCATCTCCTGGATATCTCCGTCCCCAAAACCCACCCCTCCATCTGTCTCCAGTGGTTGCCGTGGTTACGGTTTGTTCTGCTCATCAGGCGCCTGCTGTGCCTAAACAGACTGTCAACAGTTTAATTACTCATACTTTCATCCCCGTGTCTTTCCTTACTTTCTGTACAGCACGTTTGCTCGCTCCTTCCACCTCTTTACGGGTAACCTCTTGGTAACTTTCTTTTGCTCCTTCAATCATTCTCTACTTTTATCTTCACACTTCCTTCCGTCATTTGACATCTTTAGACTTTCATCCTTTTTTTTTTTTGTCATCCTTTCGTTGCTATCATTACATCCTACAAATCTACGTTCGACTACCAACTGTCTAATTACTCAATCTTTTATCATTCAGTCCCATCGGATTGATTCCATTCGTTCACACACCCCCTCCTCCTTGTGTCTCTGTTTTATTAGTGCAGTTTTTCTTCTCAGACATTGTTATTCCTCTATTCCCTTATCCCCACGCTCTCTTATCATCCACCTCTCAAGTGTCATCGCTCGCCTTTTCATTCTTCATTACTCAGTCTCTCTACATCCTCCGAGTGTTCCTCCCTATCTTAAACAGTGTTGTAATTACGCCTCTTCATCACACTATCGTTCTGTACCTCTCTGTCCATCATCTGCCGCTCTGATCCCTGATCCCGACAGCGGCCTGATGCCTCATCCTTTGATCCTCCCACTATTCCTTAACAGCTCAGCTTTTCACGTCTCTCCCTTCACCGTTTGTCATCCCCTCTTTCGTCCATTCATCCATCAAGTGCCATCCTCCTGACAGTAACCGCGTTTCCCTTGTTTCAGGGTTTCAAACTTTCCACTTCTCTCCTTGATGGAAAGTTGGTTAAATCAAGCAGGTGTGGGACATCCTACATCCATCATAGGTTATGATCTTTGATGTTTAATTGTGCCTTTTTTTTTTTGTTTCATGTAATTATCATTAATGTTCATGACTTTTCCACTTATTTGGGTCCCTCATCCTCCTTTTGGCTCTTTGTTCATTAATCAGCTGTTCAGTGAGGCCTCGCCCCGCAACCAGCTACTGTCCTGTCACCATAACCAAGTTTGGCTTTTTGCTATATTGAAGTGGTGTGCATAAGTATTTAATAATGGGCTCTAATCTACGTTTAGCTGGCTTTTCTGGGGTATTTTTACCATTTCTAAAGATTAAAAAAATGCATGAGAGCAAGTTTAATGTAATTATTAGCATATCAGACTTGTAGTATGCTAGTATAATTATAATCACCCAGCCTAGTCTTAATTCACAGGCCAGATGCAGTTCATACTGCAAAAATGTCTGGATTTGCATGTTGTTTGAGCCAGATCACACTAACTAGCACACAACCAACACTGCCCGGTAACCCATCAGTTAATAAATATATATATAATATAATATATACACACATTTGGTTTGTTTATCTTGGCAAGTCTTGTATTTTGAACAGCAAGTGCCCCATCTGTTCACCTGCCTTACTGTTGCCTGAGAATGACGGGCAGGCACCCTCGGTAACAAGAAGCCACGTGGAGCATTAACAACATAATTGAGAAATTGTTCTTTTATTCTGCTTTTATTTCACTGTTTGAGTCAAATGACACTTACCTGCTCTGTTTTCTTATGAAACTCAGTAGCAGGAGAGCAGAGCCAATTATAGATTGATGATTTGCTTAATAGAAACCAAACAGCCTCTTTGTTGCACTTCAAAAGGAGTTAGTCGTCATTTCTTCTGCATTAGCTGTGCCCCCGTTCAAAGCGGGAGTCAAAACTGTAAACTATCAACGGAGCAAATAATGAGCCCTGTCTTGGTTATTCAGAAAGCTTATTGTTCACATGTGCCGTATTGTTTTAAGCTGAATCTCGTTTGTTTCCGGGATAATTAATGTTCCTCTAAGGTAGATTTTTCACTTCCTATAAGCCGGGCTCGATAATTGGCTCGTCTTTTTACATGGAAAAGCCCTATGGTACGTTGTATTCCCCTCCTAGTTATATCTCCAAATAGTTCATTACTGGTGTTAGTGATCTTTAACAGAGTTTTTGGGGCCATGCAAGGCTAATTGTAGCCAATGGTAACAGTAGAAAGCAACATAATGATGACCATCTGTCACTGTTAATTATTTCTTCTCATCTGTTTTTCTATTTTTAATTCCCACCCAGTCAATCCTCATTCATGTATTCTAGCCTGGATGTGTCTCTTTCTAACTTTATTATCTAGTCACCCATCTCAGCTCTTTTTTTCCCCCCCACTGCCTTCATTTTAATGTAGTTTCTTGCTTCTGAAATCTCGATTATACAACACTGCTCATCTTGATCCTTCCATTTCTTTGCTTTTTCACTGTTACCATAAGACCTTCATCACGTCACTGTGTATCCTTTCCTACTTCTTCCACTCATTGTTTTTTCCTTGTCACGTGACAGTCTGTCACTGATTATAACTCCCCCTCTGCCATCCTTCCATCTGACCTCTCTTAGCCTTCAATACCCACCACCACTATCATGTGCCACCCCTCCCTTTCCTTTTTCCATCTCCGCACATCACTATTTACCCTCTCTCCCTTCTCCGTTTCTTTCTCATCGCCCTCTTATCCTTGTCTGTCCAGTCTGTCTGATCTCCCGTGTCAGTGTGCCAAATCTGCGCGTTTGTGTGCGCACGCAGGCAAAGCTTACGTAAAAAGCCCCAAACGAAGGGAGGTTAGTACGGATCTGTGCTGCTTAGGCTGCTGCTGCTGACACCACAGACACACAGTCAACCCCACAGACACACACAGCACGCCAGGTGAGATTACATAAAGGCAAGGTGATGAAAGCCAAGCTGAGACACACCTAGTAGGTAATGTGATGCAAGACGGCTGGCTGACACTCAGACACACACAGGTTCTCAATGGGAGGGTAGAGTGAAAAAGGATGTGAAAAGAATACAAGGATGATAAGAACAGTTTAAAATTGGTGCCAAGTGGTAGATTTGACACTACTTCTAACTTCTGAATGCACTTTTGTTCATTTTGTAGGTGTGTGTGTGTGTGTGTGTGTGTGTGTGTGTGTGTGTGTGTGTGTGTGTGTGTGTGTGTGTGTGTGTGTGTGTGAGTGTGTGTGTGTGTGTGTGTGTGTGTGTGTGTGTGTGTGAGAGAGTGAGTGAGAGGGTGTGGAGACGGCTCTGAGTTCCCAGTTCAGTGAGTGCTGGTGTGCACTGCATTGATTTACTCAATGATTCAGCACAAGAGAGCTAGCCATGCAGATATAGATTTGCCTTTTCTGGTGTGGGGGGGGGGTGTGTGTGTGTGTGTGGAATTGCATGGACATTACCTTTTCCGTCTGTGCGGCTCTATAATCCGAATCAGCTCCACATGTTATCCTGGTTTGAGGGTGTGTGTGTTTGTGTGTGTGTGTGTTGCACAGATCTTGCCCCAGGTGTTTCTACTTATTCTGAGCCAGCACAGGGGGGTGGGAGGTTATTGTGTGCTTGCACTGAAACCTGTCCTACTCCGCTCCACACTCACACATCCCCACACACATCAAAAGGAGACGGATATAGGTCAGTGTCAGACAACCAGAGAGTTGGAGAAATTCCAATCCCGCGATATCCTCTTAGGCTTCTATAGATGAAGAAAACCTGGGAAATCCTGAATTACTCGCTCAATCCTGGCGCGGTATTCCGAAAAAGAGACTCGGGTTTGAGAAAAAATCCAGGAATCCACTTTGCTTAAAATCCTATTTATGGCATCTTCATACGATTTCCTCATGGCTGGGTTCAACTTTTCTGTCTCAAGCAGTTCAGTCAAGTAAGAATCCAAGCAGTAGTCTTCACCTCCCCTTCTCACCACCTCTCTCCTCCATCACCCTCCCTTTGCTCCTTTTTTTTGCCTCCCCTCTCAGCTCTCCTTTTCTTTTATTCATTCATCTGGTCCTTTCTTCGTTCTTGTACACGCTCGGTTTTGATTCTTTTCACGCCTTCCTCTCGTCCCTCACTTCCAGGAGCAGTCTCCGGTGTGTCTCGGGGCTCTTCTACACTCGCTGCTGCATTTGTTCTCCCACGCTGAATTAGCCGTTTGTTGATGACCTTGGAGGCAAGTGCAGAAAAGGTGGTTTGGGAGTAACCTGGGAGATGGCTGGAAAACCTAAAACGAGAGAGACGTAGTGTAAATGCAGTGTGTACTGTGCATGTGCTCCATTTTGAAAACTCCTTTTGTGTGCATCATAAATTATAAATCAGCCTTTCGCTGCTCCACCCTGCTGACCTCCCTTTTCCCTCTGATGCCTCCACACCTCCCTGTTTCCACAACTTCTGTCACTCACGCCTCTCTTACGGCCCCCTCCTCAACTTGCCACCCCTCATTTCTTTCTCCCTCAGTTTCCCACACTCCCTCTCTATCTCTCACCTGTCAGTCAGAGGGAATCGATAGCTCCGAGACCCTCTTAGCACTTCTCGGTAGGCTGCAATGGATGATTCTTGCGCTCACAAATGCACTCGGCACGCACACAGTCGTGCAACACATTTACACATGCTGGCGCACGCATCCAAGTAGCCATGCAGCGATACTCTCTGCAAGCACGCACAGCCTCTGCATCTCTCCGTTCACTTGCTCTGTCTTTGAATCTCACGCACAGACACACACTGAGCCTAATAAAACAACTGGTCTATTGATCAGTGGCACGAATGTCAGACGGTTCAAAAGTCCACCCGCCTCCACTCTCTGGCCTGTCAATCAAACCGGCACCTTTTAAGAAAGCAATCTCATTATCGTGCTTTAAATCTTTGCACTCTGTCAGTGTCTCTCGGCGAGTGTGTTCCTTTCAGTGTGCATCTATATGTTAGTGCCGCAGCTACATGTATGTTACAAGCCCACTGGATTTTTTTTTTTACATTTAATTTTTATTATCTGCAATTCATTTCTTTTCGTTCCAGTTTCTCCCTCTTCTCCTCCTGTGCGCACTTTGCTACTTCAAAAGCACAGTAGAGCTATTTTTCTGTTTTTCGAGTCGTCTCATTGTTCTTTCATCTTCATCTAGCATCTTTCACCCCTGTTTTGCCCTCTGTGAGATAAAAAGATGTATTTACTAACCTCGTTTTCCGGATCATTCCACCACCATGACTCCTGAAGCCGTCACATTTCTCCGTCTCCGCGGCTTTCGCTCTCTCAGCTCCGTGGAAAAACACCCATCTCTCTCTCTCTCTCTCTCTCTCTCTCTCTCTCGGTATCTCTCTCTTCGTCTGCCTCTCTCTCTCCCGTTGGTCGTCCCCTCACTCGGTCGACAGCTGCAGCGCTCTGTCTGCCTCCTCTGTCGCTCTTCCGTCAGGGCTGTAGGCTGATTGAATTTTAAGTCATGTTAATCCCACAGAACAGGTACTGAATGAAGGAGGGGACAAAGAAGGGAGAGAGAAAATAACAGAATGCAGAGAGTAAGCTGGCTTGTATTTTTAGAAATCTCCTCTCTCCTCAGGAAGGAATCTTTTACTTGTCCTGCTTCCACAGAGTCACTTGACTCTTGATTTTGTTTTTTCCCATTTGTCTGCATCTCATCTTCTTTTCTTTCGTCCTTATCTGGGGAAGAAGTGTGCGATTCTCATCGAGCAGCAAAGGAAAGCACTGTGATCGGTCTCCGGCAGCGTCAAGCATCAGACTGAGAGAGTGTGTGCACAAGAGAGAGGCATGTAGATGAGGAGCAGGACAAATACAGGGCTGAGGTGTAGAGGGGTGGGGGGAGAGGAAGGAGGAAAAGAGACGGAAGATGTGCTATAGGAGGAGGAAGAGCCAAGATGAGGAGTTGGGGATGGAGAATGTGGGAGACTAACAATGAGGAAGAAGAGTGATGACAACGACCTACACTGGCTCAATGTAGTTAATTTAAAATAAGTAAAAAGATGCACTTTCAGAAAAGTGTGTGCTCAGATGTAGATGTGGCACCGTGTTGTTTTTAGTCCATTGGTGGGATTTGTTATTCTATATATAGGAAATGCACAGAATAAGGATTTGGCACGCATTGCCCCCTCCCACCAGTTAGGTGTCTGTACTGGACCCCGTCTTTGTTATAAAGCCAAAGGTCAAAGAGCACTAATGAGGCGGTTTAGTACTAATATGATTAAAATTGAGATACTTTAATATTAGTCTTCTGTTTCATTACATTTCACAGAGTTGGAGTTTACTGGCCCCATTGTTCCTTTATAGCTGCCCAATTCCTCACAGCTTAGATTTTTTAAAAAGTGCTGGAAACGTCCCTCAGAGATTTTACGTCTATATTGACATGATGACATCACACAGTAGCTGCAGATTTGTCAGCTGCACATCCATGTTGGGAATCTCCAGCTCCAGTTTGTGACCGTGTCTTTTCCTACTGGGAGCGGCGTCAGAAGATAGGTGCACTGATCATAAGGGATGGACATGATCAGCAAAGGTACTCAGGTGGGCTGTAGTGTTTAAACAATGCTCAGTTACAGCAGCAGCCTGAACCGCTGGTACAAAGCAGGATGGATCCATGCTTTTCTTTCTGTTTATGTCCAAGTGTGACCCGACCATCCAAATGTCACAGCTGATTGAGGCTCATGAACATTTTTTACACTCTTTTGTTGTCCAGTTTTGGTGAGTCCATGTAAATAATAGCCTCAATTTCCTGTTCTCACCTTAAGAGTGTCGCCCATCGTCGTTTTTTTGCTGCTGCTTTAGCCGATCTGCTTCAACCTTCCACATGTTGTGTTCAGAGACGCTCTTCTGCATTTGTTATGCTTGTTTACAGCCTTGGTTATAATGAGCTGATACTTAAGTTACTGTTGCCTTCTCATCAGCTAAGATAGTCTGGCCATTCTCCTCTGACCTCTGGAATCAACAAGGCATTTTTGCCCAGAGAACTGCTGCTCACTGGATATTTTCTCCTTTTCCGACCATCCTCTGTAAATCCTAGAGATGGTTGTGTGGGGAAAATCCCAGTAGTTCAGCAGTTTCTGAAATCCTCAGCCCAACCTGTCTGGCACCAGCACTATGGCACACTGATAGCCACTTAAATCACATTTCTTCCTCATTCTGACGCTCGGGTTGAACTTTATCAGCTCTTCATGTTCACATTTTCTAAATGCATTCAGCTGCTATCATGGGATTAGATATTTCACATACCTTTAGATATTTGCATTAGCGAGTGAATGTACACAGACGGAGATGTATCGAGATATTTCTCTCTCGCTCTCTCTCGATATATCTGTCATAGATATCCATAGAGCTCTATTTATCTATAGATATCTCGATATATATCTATATACAGAGAGATGGATATCGAGATATTGCGATATCTAATGCATGTTATCTACTCTCACATTTACATTTCTACATGCAAGCCTAGAAAACCTTTTTCTCTATATCTCACTTCAGCATGCTGGAAAGAATAAGGAGAAGTTCTCCCAGGCTTCTCTTTTCCACAGTGCGCACAGTTATTCATTTTGGCCTTCCAGGTATGAAGCTCTTACTGAGTTCTGGGATTTTTTTTAATTTTTTTTTAATGTATTTTTTTTTTTACTTTGCAAAATTTAGAAAAAAAGGAGCCCAGGGGTTAAACTAACTACATGCAGGTGTGTTTGCAAAGTGTTTCTTGCTGAGAAAGGAAATACAAGGAGTGAATTGCACAAATGGGGGCAATAATGCACATTTTCAGATGGTCTCCATGCAAATGCAAGCATAATTAGCACTTAGTTGTATACATAAAAGTGACATAAGTAGTTGTGTGACAAAATAAGAGACCTTAGGAGAGAAGCTAAGGTTCTGCATGCTGCGTCTCTTTGGTTTGGTGTAGATTGAAGCATACAATGAGGCCCGATCACCTTCTGTTAAAAAACAGGCCTGAAAGATTGTGGTGCAGTCATATATAGAGAAGTACTGATAAAACATATTTCGGATATAATATCTCCAAACTGCAATTGCAGGATTTCGTAGTTGTAGGGGTATTTTTACACAAAATCTGATGGAGGGTTGGGTGGACAGAAGGAAGGAGAGATGGAGGAGGGGGAGGGAAAAAAAGACGGCTGGTGTGACAAGGGGAAGCGAAGTTTTTACCGCCTCGAGCAATTCTCAGTCGGACCAGGATGAGAGCGGGAGCAGACGATGATGATTAAGAGAGAGAGGACGGGGACGTAGGGAAGGGGCCAAAGTTCTCTGAGGGCATAAGGGAGATAAGTGAGGAAGAGAGGGGTTACTGAGAGATAGAAGAGAGGGCTGGATGGAGTGATAGGAAGGCGATAGGAGAGAGTGCAGCTGATACTACTTCAAACGGTGGTCGAGGGCTTGATTTCCCTGCCGCGCTGATAGCTGCTGGGAACGGCCGTGAAATGGAAACCATCTTCGGGCGCGTGTATGTGTGTCTGTGTGTGTCCCATTACTAAGGCAGGACCTAAAACATCAGAGCTATTGGATGTTGGAATTAAGTCACTCCCAAATTTCGCATAAGCGCAGTTCTGTTTTGCAACAAAATCTCACACTGGAGATGAAACTTCAGAGAGAGATGGTAGGAAAGAGATGAGGGATGGAGATGTGGTTCTGTTATGGGTGAATTGGTTTTTCGTGTATCTAAATTTCAACCCAAGACTCAATTTTTTGTTCATCTTTCACAATTTATGGCCCCCTTCCTGTTTATCTCCTTTCTTCATTTCCATTTCAAGCATTTGACTCCCCATCATTCATTTTTTTTCTTTCTTATATTTGTCGCTCCTTGATCTCTCCCTCTTGACTTTTTATTTATTTATTTTTTCCTGCTGCTGTGGGCCAACATATTTTTAACTTTGTAAGCCAAACCTCCCTCAAAGGAAGGTCCAGCAAGGGGATGTTTGATATATTATTTCATCCAGTCATTTAGAGCGGCCAGTTGATGGCCCGTTGATTCACAATTAATCAAACCTCTAGTGTTGTAGCACCCAGTTCTCTTCCCGGAGCGAGCGACCTTGCTGAACGAAATAAATGACATGACCTAATGCTGGCTAACGGAACAAGTGAGTCAGGAGAAACTCTCATTACTGGCACAGAAGTTGGTTTATATACATCCCACAATCAGGGCACTTATGAATAAAATACAATGCATTTTCACATAAAGTAGGGCGAAGGTGCATCCTAAGCAGATCATCTGCTTCTACAGCTCAATCTGGTTAAAGTAAAGCACACAAGGGGAAAGTCTTTTTTTCCTTCGGACTGAGAACTAAGCAGAAAGATTGGCAGGATGTGAAGTTCACTCTGAGTAGCACTGCACTTAATCAGAAAGAGGCCAGACCTGTTCTGGTTTGGTCAGGCCAAATTAGCCCTCAAAGTGAAAACGGTTGCAGGGGAGTCGGCCTACTGACCCGGCGCTGAACACATCCATCGATGTCTTTCTTTTGGTTCAGTGGTCAACTCACTAGTGGTGTGTGCCATCAGTTGCATATTTGTTTCTGACGGGAAATTAAAGCAGCTTGTTGGATTTAGCAAAGGAGTTTGTATTTGAACATCCACACCTCTCCAAAATTGACAGAAAGCAATGAGCTGTGAAAAAGACAAACAAAATCTAATGTAGATGCGAGCACCATAAAGCTAAATAAGACTTTCCTGTTTTTACTCTCTGCTCTTTTCCTGTGTTCAAAGATTTGGTCAGTACTTCTCACAGTGCAATAAAAAAAAAAAAAAAACCAGAGCAGTGTCCCTGCCTAGAGGTTGTGCATATTCGTGCATGCTACCATCTCTTTATAGAGATGAGCAAGTAGCTGCCACTGCTGACTCAGAGCAGCCCACAGTCTTTGCTGTTTTCAGAGATGCGACTGCCATCTGACCACAATGATTTCTCCCTTGTAAAGGTTGCTCAGGTCCCCATCTGCTAATTCATCCTGCATCCAAACACACAGAGTGTTAGAACAGACTTAAAAGGATTTTGCTGAATGGCTCTTCTTAAACAATTGAGTAGATGTGGGTTACCATCAAACAGAAAAGGTGAAGTTTGGTCAGCACTGTGCAGCTTGAATCAAATATGGAACCTTGACAGCAGCTGCAGAACACGTCCTTGCCGGCAGCAAGTATATAGGTGTGTTTTTGAATGAGATGGGGGGGAAAAACTGAAAGCCATTTTCACCCTTGATGATTTAGATTTTGTAGTATTTCACACTATGGTGCAAAGGTTTTATGCATTTAACATGTTTAGGTTCTTTTTCTCAATGCAGCCTTAAGTCTTAAATACATTCTTCTGTAGACTGTGAGTCATACTGCCGGCATTCTTAAGCACTTTAAAATAAGCTGGATCTAAGCGATCTGTTCCTCTACAGGGCACAGCAGCAGGAAATTGCTCATAATTTTTCCTGGACAGCAAGGAGTGGCAGCACTGTAATGCAAAGAGCCTGTCAGAGGCGCACACAGTGGCTGAGATGAGGCAAAGCGAGAGGAACTAGGAAGTTCATTTTGCTCTTTCAGGTTATTCCACTGAGAGAGTACTGAAACATGCTTGACTTGACTCGTATGCAGCAGTGACAGATCCCTTACTACAGCCTGTAATTATTGGACACAAGTGGACAGATCAGGTAAACGGGTAACATGTTGATACATTGTAATATCTCAAAAAATCAGTGTTTCTTAGGCCAGCTTGAAATACCTGCGGTGACTGCCTTATCAGTGCACTCACCGCCAAACCAGTCAATTCAAGATGCTTGTGTCTTTTCTTCCAGGTCAACAAATATGCCACCACATATATTGTGGATTTCACATACTTGTACTTAATCCTCTTATTAAATAAGTTCAGGGATTTTTCTTTAAATCAGCTCCTGCTTTCTGCTTGTGATACACACTGAAAATTGTGAGACACAGTGACTAAATATACGCAGCACTGAAACCCACAAACGAGTGCGCTCATTGAGCACCACTGTGCACAAA